GGCAGGAGACTCGCTTGAGCCCAGGAGTTGGAGGTTGCTGTGAGCGTAATGCCATGGCACTCTACCCAGGGGGATAGCTTGAGGCTCCATCTCAAAAAAATAAAATAAAATAAAATAAATTTAAAAAAATAAAAAAATAATAATAATAAAAATAAATTAATTACTTGAAAAATAAGAACCTGGGTGGGGCTTCCTCTTGGTGGAGCTTGGGCAATCCCAACCTTGCTTTGGCACATCTTTGAGCCTTTCTCCCAAAGCCTCAGGCACCCCTTCAGCAGCGTCCATAGTTGGATAGATGAGTGGACAAGTGACCCATGGCTGCATGACAGGGTTTGCCACTGTCCAATGGGGGAGGATGCAGTGGGCAAGGATTTGTGCTTTCTTGTGGCTACTTCAGGAGGAGCCCAGGCAAAGTGGGGTGGCAGCCCCCAATCCTGTCCAAGAGATTCCTATTTTTCAGCCTGAGGAGCCCTGGCTGGCACCACCCTGCACTGAGCCCCAGGGGTGGACAGGCATGCCTGTGCCTGACTCTGTGCCTGAGGGTTTGTTGACTGGGTTAGCTGACTAACTGCGAAGGGACACCTGCATGAGAGTGGCAGCCCTTTCTCTCTTGTAAGGCAGCAGGGGTAGGTGAATTCCTCTAGACAAGGTGATCCTGCTACACTTCCCACCCCATTGGAGCCCAGCAGAGCTTCTAGGTCAGGGAGGACCATGGCAAGTGTGTGCCACTGGGAAGGGCTCCCACTCTGCCCTCCCCACTTTTCCTCTTTCCGGTGGCCTAGCCTCTTTTTTCCTAGGAGAACCTAACCATTTGCAAATAGGGAGATTTTTACTGTGGGCTCTTCCCTGAAGGTGGGGTGTGGACCCAGGCCCTGCCAGGACAGCCTGGTTTTCTCGGGTCCCCTACTGGTTTCCCATCTCCAGGTGCTCCCACCCTCTCCCTCTGCTGGGCTGTGTTTGCCCCACACCTACAAGGTACGCCCTGGGCTGTGTTTCCACAGATGTACTTCCTTAAGTCATGGGCTCCCCAAGGGTGGTCTTAACCATGTCCCACTCCAAAAGCTCCCCTCATAGCAAATCACTGGAAGTGAGGGAGGATCCAGGGAGGAAGAAGCAGACTGAGGGTATCACATAGGCCAGGTCACCAGATATGTGTGTGGGGGGGGTGGAGTGGGGCTCTCCTGGGTGAAAGTGTTTTGAAATCTGAAGCTCTCCCTGCCCCATGATGCCCTAGCTCTGGCCCAGACGGTGAGCACGTGGTTCAAGCACAGATCTGAGTGAGGTGGGGGCACCCAGACCAGCCTCACCTGGCAGAGAGGATGATGACACGGGCCTCCAGCTCTCGAGCCTCCATCAGCAGGGCTGTCACGTTCTTGGTCCCCGGGTCGAACTGCAGCACCTTCTCTGCCTGCGGTGTGAGCAGGAGTGTTAGCAGGCAGCTGGGGCAGGGAACATAGCGCCTCAGGGGCGAGAGTTGGGCCACAGTCGCTAGGAACCCCAAGGCAGCTTAGCTAGGGCTGCCGTGGCCTGTGCCTGCCACGTGCGCCTGCCACCTGCTTCCTCTCTCCTGGCCTGACCTGGCCTTGAAGCTCTTGTTCTGTCTTCAGCCTGCTGGCCCTCCTATGCTCGTTCTCTGCACACTTTCTCTCTCTCTCTCTCTGCCTGCTCTCTCTGGGTCTCTCTTTCCACCTCACTCCTATCTTCACCTTTGCACTGAGCATGCAAGCTGAAGTGGACCCAGACTCAGAAACAGGCGTGCAGCGGACAGGAAACAGAAAAGAGTTTTGGAATGCAACCGGAAACAGAGATGGGGCTGACTTTTCCAAAACCACAGGAGGTCCTCTCAGGTCTGACTCCATAGGCCCCATCAGGAGCAGCCCGGACCCCCGTGAGCGGGTGGCCGAGTTGTGGGCTCCCTCCTGGGTTCCACAAGGAAACCCTGGGGGTCCCAGAGATTCGCATGCACTTCCCGGAGAGCAGCTCCTCCTGCAGCTGTGCCTGCCTCGAGGGTGCGGCTTGGGTCACAGCGAGTGGGCCTCAGGCACCCACGCTGCCCATGCCTGCCCTCTCCTGCTGCCCTCTCCTGCCTGCTGCCTGCTGCCTCTCCTCACTGCTCGGGCCTGCGGCTCAGCGGCTGGGCCTGACAGCGGCCCTAGTGGCCGAGGCGCCGGAGGCCGGGGCTCCCTAGTCGGTGGGTGGCGTGCACGTCCATGCATATATACCTTGGGTCCGCGCTTGTTGTCATAGGACAGTTGGTCGAGGTTTTCATAGTTCCTTTTTTTACTCTGATGAATAATGTGCACAGAGAAAATATGCAGACACAGAAGAAGATTATAAACGGTTGAAAATGACGGCGCTAAAGCAATCACACCACCTCCTCGGCACGTCGGCAAATGGGCACGTACCTGGAGCTCGCAAACACCAAGGCCCGGGGGGGGGGCGGGACTGGGGGCCGGGGCAGATCTGGGGAGCTAGGGGCACAGGGGCGGGGCCACAGAGGCTCCCTGCCACAAAGCTATGCTCTTGTAAATGGAGGCCCTGTCCACGTCCACCCCTTGGGTCCCACGTGCCACCCCCCACCCTGCCATGCACCTGCTGTGTGCCCCAGCAGTGCCCACCCCCTCCCACGTCAGTCCTTCCCCTTTGTCCTCCCTCCTGCCCCTCTGGAGACCAAGGTGTTCTTTTCTCGCTGACTGATGTGCCCACACCTGTTGGCCCTCGTGCAGGCGGAGATGTGTGTGCGTGCACATGTGCACTGGCAACCTGCAAATGTGGGGCAGGGCAGTGCTATCTCAGCACTGTGTGTGTGTACGAGTGGGGGTGGGTGCTCACTTGGGGGGTGCCTGTGCGTCCAGTGTGGAGGCAATGTGGTTTGCTTCTGGGGCCGGTGTATCCTGTGATGGAAGTGTCTGGGGTCATGGTCAGTGTTCGCCTGTGAGTGAACTGGTGGCTAGGTGTACAGGGGTGTGAGTGTAGCCATAGGTGGGCACATTGGGAGGTGAGGTGACTGTCAGGCGCTGGGGCTGAGGGGCCCTCTCTTGGGAGCCCTCAGCCATCATGGCCACCCTCTTAACCAGACTCAGCAGATCCCCCGTGACAGAACCCCCCAAGACTCTCTGATCTGCCCTCTAGCTCCCTCCCCTCCCAGCCTGGGCCTTCTACTCCCTCTGGGGGCCTGTGGCACATTGTGGGGGATCCTGGGGTTGGCCCTAAGTTGGATGAAGCCAGCTCTAACTTCAGGTACAGTACATGCTCCCCTGCCACTCCTTGGGTCTGGCCTTGGGGCCCTTCTTAGCCTGGGCTCCCTCCCTCTTTGCCTGGCCCTGGAAGCCATGGTCTGGATGCTGAGTGCCCAGGTCCCTGGAGGTCCTGGGTCACCTTTGCTGAGCTCCAGCTTCTCCTTAGCCTGGAAATGATGGGGCAAGGAAGGGGCCAGGGTCACTTGGACCCTCAGAAATTCTGGCTCTGATCTCTCCACAGTCCTACAAAGTGGGTTCAGACTGGTCTGGGGTGGGGAATTAGTGTGTCCTAGAACCAGGCATCCATTTGGTCCCGGTGAGGGGTCCAGAGTCCAGCCTATGGGGATAGGCAAAGGAGCCTGAGGGGTCAAGCTGGGGAGGGGAGGCAGGCATCTGTGGACGGGCTTGGTGAGCTGTGAGCTGCAGGCTGTAGAGATGGGCACAGAATGGGTCCCTATGAGCAGGGGCCAGGGCCTTTAGGGAGGGGGTAGGAGGCTACCATCGCCTGGGGGGCATGGCGTCCTAGGGAGGGGTGGGTCAGCGGAGACAGCGCCCGCATTGGAGGCTGGTTGGGCGCCGCGGGCGGCAGCCAGGTGAAGGGCAGCAAGGGATGGATGAGGGTGGGGTGTTTGCGGAGCTCCAGGTGGTCCAGCCCTCGCCCCGCAGGGACTGACACGAAGGAGATTTCGACTAATGGCGAAAGCAAGTGAAATGAGCCAAGGACAGGCTGGGGCGGGCACTGCCAGACGTGGTGCTGCTGACCATGCACGATGGAGAGAAAGGGTGTCACACACGGAGCCACAGACACAGCGGGCGCCCGCTCCTCTCCTGCTCCGCGAGGCCCGCCGCCGCCTGACCCTCACCTTGGACTCACGCTCCTCCAGCAGCGTCTCCAGGCGCTTCTGTGCAGCCCGGCCCTCATGGTCGTCGCTGACCAGCAGGATGATGTGGTTCCAGCTGTAGACACGCATCATCTCGAACCAGACGCTGGACTGGTGGGAGTAGGGTGGCACGGTGCGCAGGAAGCTCAGGTGGATGCTCTGCGGGCACAGGGGTTGGGGTGGGGCAGGTGCCACTGGGCTGGGGCCCCACATCCTCCCCTCCGGGGACACTTGCCAACTCCTGGGGGCCACACATCCTCTTGCCTGGCTGCACCCCACTGGCCTGTCCTCTCTCTCCCTCACATCAGCTAAAGGAATCCAGGTGTTGCAGTAGCAGCACCGTGACAGGGACATCCATCTCTGGAATTGTTCTTGCGGTGGACTTGCCCCTCCCTGGAAGCCCACCTCTGTGTTGGACAACTTGAACTCAGAAAACACGTACTGAAGCAAAGTACTGGGGACCTGTGTGGAGTCCTTCACAAATTCAGTAACTATTATTAGGAAGTCTCACTCTTGGGCTAAATGGCCCCTATCCTCCCTGAGTCCAGAGGCCATTGCTCACTGGCCATACTGCACACTAGCATGGCCAGGAGCAGTCTGCCTGCCCAGCCTGGGCTTCCTGTGTCTGTGTTGTGAACACTGTCCCAGCAGTGTCCCTTGGCTCCACATTGACCTTGTATTCTGAGGCCCCCAGGTCATTGTTCACCTGCCCCCTCTTCAAGGCCTAGGGGCAGTGCTTTGAAGTAAAGAATGTTTTCATCACCTGACCACAGGGCTGCAAGGCAGGATCTGGCTGAGATCCCGAGCTACCTCTGACCCGGCCTTGCTGGCCCATAGGTGGAGCTCAAGGGTGGCCAGTGTGTTACTGAGAACTTTGGCTCCTGGCTCTGGCCTCCTCTGGGCTGGCCTTACCTGTGGTGCCTCTTCTCCCCGCCTCTCCGCCTCTCCTCTGCCCCTGGCTGCTTCCCTCCCTAGAGCCATTTTCTCCCCTTTGCATACGAGGAAACTGGGTACAATGAGGGTGAAGGAGACCGTGGCCAGAGGCACAGGGATGAAACCCCCTGCTTCTCACAGCCCAGGGTGAAGTCACCTGGGAGGAGCAGCCTGGGCACCTTGGGACAGGCCAGGGATTTCAGAGCTGCAACGGGGGGGGGGGGCGCCTGTACCAGCCTCCTTTCCCCCTTGCCCCTGAGGGAAGACCCCTCCTCATCCTCCTGCTGTGTTGGACTTGGTTTCACTGATCTCTGGGCTTAAGGCAGCTCTACCTGGGACCACTGACTCCAGGCAGGAGGAGTTTGGAGATAGGAAACCCAGAAGCCCTGGAACCAAGCCTAATGGCCCCTGCCACATGGCCTCTCTAGGTGTGTCTGAAAGTGGCCCTAGGCCTGCAGGGAGGTGTGGAACAGGCTACAGTGGCCCTTCCAGCCTCTCAGAGGACAGTTAGCATCCCCAGCCAGTGGGTCCTCCCAGAATTGTGGTCTGCCTGGGGGATGTGTGACTAATGGCAGGCTCCATGCCTCTCTGGGTTAGAATTTCCTGCAAAACTGACTGGGCGACCTCTCTACTCTTCCAGTTGCTGTTCTAGGCCTGCACAGAGACCCCCAACTCCTGCTCCAGCCCATGGCCCACTAGGCCTTGCAGGAGACTGAGCTCTGTAGGCATGGAACCCCAAGGCCACCTCTTTTGCAAAGGGTTGCCTCCCTATCCACTCATCCAGCTTCATTGTCCACCGTGCCTGGCACTGGTGGAGGCTTCAAACCTCAGCCCTCGCTGCTAGCTGTGTGCCCTTCTCTCATCTACGCTTTTTCTCCTCAGAGCCCCCTCCAGCTCCCAATATCCCCCTTCAAAGTCCACCTGTCCAGGAAATCTCCATATCTGTCCCTCCTCCCAGTCCTGGAGGGGGTATTATCAACACCTTCACCTGCAGGAGGGCCACCTGCCGGCACAAGTGAGGAGGCGTGTGCATACAAGAGAGTGTGTGTCAGGGTACGTGTGTGTATGAGGGTGCGTGTATGTGTAAGGATGCATGTGAAGGTGTATGTGAGGATGCATGCGTGTGAGGGTGCATGTGTGAGGGCACTGTGCATGTGAGGGTGCATGTGTGTGAGAGTGCATGTGTGAGGGCACTGTGCATGTGAGGGTGCATGTGTGTGAGGGTGCATGTGTGAGGGCACTGTGCATGTGAGGGTGCATGTGTGAAGGTGCATGTGTGTGAGGATGCATGTGTGAGGGCACTGTGCATGTGAGGGTGCATGTGTGAGGGTGCATGTATGAGGGCACTGTGCATGTGAGGGTGCATATGTGAGGGCACTGTGCATGTGAGGGTGCATGTGTAAGGGTGCATGTGTGAGGGCACTGTGCATATGTGAGGGTGCATGTGTGAGGGTGCATGTGTGCGGGCACTGTGCATGTGAGGGTGCATGTGTGAGGGTGCATATGTGAGGGTGCATGTGTGAGGGCACTGTGCATGTGAGGGTGCATTGTGTGAGGGTGCATGGGTGAGGGCAAGTGTGCAAGTGATGGTGCATGTGTGTGAGAGCATGTGTGTGTGTAAAGGTGCATGTGTGTGAGGGAAAGTGTGCAAGTGAGGGTGCATGTGCATGCAAGAGTGTGTCAGGGTGAGTATGTGTGAGAACTCACATGAGGGTGCATGTGTGAGGGTACGTGTGTGAGGGCACATGTGCATGTGAGGGTACATGTGCATGTGTGAGTGCATGTGTGAGGGTTCATGTGTGAGGGTTCATGTGTGAGGGTGCATGTGTGTGAAGGTGCATGTGTGAGGGTGCATATGTGAGGGTGCATGTGTGTGAGGGGTCATGTGTGAGGGTTCATGTGTGATGGTGCATGTGTGAGGGTGCATGTGTGTGAGGGGTCATGTGTGAGGGTGCATGTGTGTGAGGGTTCATGTGTGAGGGTTCATGTGTGAGGGTGCATATGTGAGGGTTCATGTGTGAGGGTGCATGTGTGTGAGGGTTCATGTGTGAGCACTGTGCGTGTGAGGGTGAATGTGTGAGGGTTCATATGTGAGGGTGCATGTGTGTGAGGGTTCATGTGTGAGGGTGCATGTGTGAGGGTGCATGTGTGAGGGTTCATGTGTGAGGGTGCATATGTGAGGGTGCATGTGTGAGGGTGCATGTGTGAGGGCACTGTGCATGTGAGGGTGCATGTGTGTGAGGGTGCATGTGTGAGGGTGCATGTATGAGGGCACTGTGCATGTGTGAGGGTGCATATGTGAGGGTGCATGTGTGAGGGCACTGTGCATGTGAGGGTGCATGTGTGTGAGGGTGCATGTGTGAGGGCACTGTGCATGTGAGGGTGCATGTGTTAGGCTGCATGTGTGAGGGCACTGTGCATGTGAGGGTGCATGTGTGAGGGCACTGTGCATGTGAGGGTGCATGTGTGAGGGCACTGTGCATGTGTGAGGGTGCATATGTGAGGGTGCATGTGTGAGGGCACTGTGCATATGTGAGGGTGCATGTGTGAGGGCACTGTGCATGTGAAGGTGCATGAGTGAGGGTGCATGTGTGAGGCTGCATGTGTGAGGGCACTGTGCATGTGAGGGTGCATGTGTGAGGGTGCATATGTGAGGCTGCATGTGTGAGGGCACTGTGCATGTGAGGGTGCATGTGTGAGGGTGCATATGTGAAGGTGCATGTGTGAGGGCACTGTGCATGTGAGGGTGCATGGGTGAGGGCAAGTGTGCAAGTGATGGTGCATGTGTGTGAGGGCATGTGTGTGTGTAAAGGTGCATGTGTGTGAGGGAAAGTGTGCAAGTGAGGGTGCATGTGCATGCAAGAGTGTGTCAGGGTGCGCGTATGTGTGAGAATTCACATGAGGGTGCATGTGTGAGGGTACGTGTGTGTGAGGGCACATGTGCATGTGAGGGTACATGTGCATGTGTGAGTGCATGTGTGAGGGTTCATGTGTGAGAGTTCATGTGTGAGGGTGCATGGGCATGTGTGCGTGTGAGAGTGCATGTGTGTGAATGTGAGTTGGGTGTGTGGGCACATATGAGAGTGCATGAGCATGTGTCAGTGTGAAGCCAGGATTGTGTGGCATGTATGACATGCACGTGTCTCCCAAGGGCAGAGACCTGCCCGCACAGTGCATGGCCCAGGCTTACCTTGTCTGAATAGATGGACATGCGAGTGGTCAGCCCCAGGACGGGGATGCGGTAGAAGCCAGCTGTGTAGGAGACGGGGGTGGGAGTGAAGTGGTCGTTGGGGGTGGGTGGGTGGCTAACTAGGATGGCGTAGACCTGTGGACACAGGAGATAGGGTCAGCTTGAGCAGGGGTGGGCCAAACACTGTGCCAGAGCCTGGGAGTATGAAGCAGCGGGGCCTGAGCCCAGCAGGCCACAGGGGTTGACGTGGTACCACTGCTGAGCACACAGCTCTGGATACACATGCCCACGTGCAGGGAGGAGACCCTACACCCATCTGTAAAGTAATCCCAGGGGTGGGGCAGATACCACCCAGAGAGAGGATGAACCCCTGCCTGGGTTCTCCCTTTACTTTTTGAGACAATCTCACTCTGTTGCCCTTGGTAGAGTGCTGTGCCGTCACAGCTCACAGCAACTTCTACCTCATGGGCTTAAGTGATTCTCTTGCCTCAGTCTCCAGAGAAGCTGGGACTATAGGCACCCACCACAAAGCCGAGCTATTTTTTGTTGCAGTTGCCACTGCTGTTTTAGCTACCTGGGGCTGGGTTCAAGCCCACCACCCTTGGTATATGGGGCCAGCACCCTATCCACTGAGCCACAGGTGCCGCCCTTTACTCTTTTTTTTGAGACAGAGTCTCACTTGGTCAACCTTGGTAGAGTGCTGTGGCATCATAGCTCACAGCAACCTCAAACTCTTGGGTTCAAGTGATCCTGTTGCCTCAGCTTCCCAAGTAGCTTGGACTATAGGCATGTGCCACAGCAGGCTATTTTTTAGAGTGGGGTGTCCCTCTGGCTCAGGCTAGTTCCGAACCTGTGAGTTCAGTCAATCTACCTGCCTCAGCCTCCCCAGTTCTGGGATTACAGGCGTGAGCCACCACCCCTGGCCTTTCTCCCTTCACTCGTCACACAACTGGCCAGGGGCCCTGGATAGCCAGCTGTGAGCTGGATGATGAAGCCTCCCAACAGTAAGGTAAAGGCCTGTCCTGTGTCCCCTGGGGCCTATATGCCCCATCTACCTTCTGAGCATGGGATGCATCCAGGGCCAGCTGGGGAAAATGGCTGGTTCTGTACCATGGCCAGCTCCCCAAGACCGGGTGGGCATCTGCCAAGGTCTGCCTCAGGTTTGAGGGGAGAAGCAGATGGGCTGTGTGAACAAGGCCCCATCCTGACTTGGAGCTGTGACTTTATCCTAGAGGAAGGGCAGGGGAGGCGCTATGGGGAGTGCAGACCTCCTGCTGTGGCCAAGGCCCCTGCTGAGGGCACCTGAGGCCAGTGGCTCCACTCCCTGGAGTGGACACCTCCCTTCCTCTCACAGCCCCTCCCAAGGTGGGGGGCAGAAGGCCAGGGATCCACCTTCATGTTGAAAAGACCTGTGTCTGACCCCAACTCTGCCTGTGCCTTTTACAGTCACAGGTCCCACTTGCGTCTGCAAATGGTGGCAGGGGGTGCAGGGCACAACCCCACATGGCAAGACAGAGCCTAGGCCAGAAGGTGTGATCTGTGAGGGATAGCTGCTGTGTCGCCTTTGCTCAGGGGCAGTGCCCACAGACAGCAGAACTGTCTGAGTTAGAAAAGGGGTTTCCCCAGAATGGGTCCTGCCTGGATTCTGGGCTGCACCCTCAATGTCCCTCCTCCATTCCAGATGGAACATGTGACCAAAGCTCCTGGCCACAGACATGTCATCCAGTTCTGTTGTCCCTTGGTGCCCCGGGTGGGGGCATGGGATGGCTTGTGAGGTGGGGAGTGGAGGTTTCAGAGCAGAATTGGCACAGACACTGTAGTTGCTGGACTGCTCCCCCCATCCCCAGTCTGCATTCAGAGCTGCCAGACAAAGGGCTATGGGCCAGTGCTTGTGTGGGCATGTGTGTGCCTGTGCAATGACCATGCAGGCATTCACAAGCATGCTGGAACATGTGTGTATTGTATGCAAAGTGTCTGTATCTATACTTGTGTGTGCATGTAAGTACACAGCTTTGTATGTGCATGCCAAGCAGTGTGTAGCCCGAGCATGTGACCATGGAGGTACATGTGCAGCTGACTGTATAATGTTGAGGTGCAAAAGGGTGCACTAGTGTAATGTACATGTGTGTGTGAGCCTGCCTGACCATGGGTATGGTGTGTCCACCCCATAAGCATGTGTCTGTCCTGCCTCTTACATAAAGGGCTGCATTGCAGTAATCCTCACAGCTTCATTGGAATTCAGCAAGCAGCTCAGCCTGGGGCGGACAGCTCTGACAGGCAAAATCTTGGGATTCGTTTCCTCCCCCGCAGTGCTGGCTGCCACTGGCAACTCCCTTCACACTGGCAGTCCCCACTCCCATGCCCACAAAGCACCCTGCTTCAACACCTGGGCCAATTCCCATCTCAGGCAGATCCATGGACAGGGGGAGGGAAGAGAGGAAGGGAAGGAGATTCTAGAAGCAGAAACAAAGATGGCCCCAGGCCCCATCCTGTTTAAAGCTCTGCAGTGCAGGCATGTGGCTAGAATGGGCACTTCAGCCCCAGTACCCAGAATGCCCATCCCCCCATGCTGACACCAGCTGAGGGCCTGGAGCCCAGAGGCCTTCTGAGGATTGGCCAAGGTGGTAGGTGACCAGACTAGGGGATTAGATGGTGAAACCAGCAGACACTGGTGTTTGATTTCTAGTAAGACCAGGCTTCTCCAGTTGATTCCAGGGAAAGTGCTGGAAAGGATTGAATGAAACTGGGAGAATGGAAGAGGGAGAAGGTCGTGGGGGAGGGGCGGGAGCTGGGTTGGGGATGGGACAGGTGGGCACCTGGCTGGAGATGAGGTCCTCGCACACCGACAGGGCCATCTGGATGGCGTTAGGCTTGTGGGTGACAGAGGTAGCGTTGAGCTGTATCTTCCAGGAGCCGTGCCGCTTGTTGGCCTGATTCACGGCCTCGCGGAACATCTGCTCGTGCTTCCGCGTGCTCAGCACCGCGCCGATGTTGACGATCTTGGGGTCGCAAGCAGCGCGCGCGAAGGAACAGGAGAAGAGCAAGGCGAGTGTCAGCAGGTGCATGGCGCTCATGGGCTCCGGCCGCCACGGGCCTGGCTCGGGGCAGCGCAAAGGTGGCGCCCTGGGCGCGTCCCCAGCGGGCGCCCTGGCACTCCTGAGCCCACCCGCCGCCCCGCGGGTCGAGAACGCCGCGAGCAGCTGGGGGCCACGGGCCAGGGGCGCCTGTCCGGGGAAGGGGCTCGCGAGCGCAGGGGCGCTGTCCGCGGTGCTGACGCGGGGCCCGGGGCTGCCCCGAGTGTCCGGCGCGGAGAGGGTGCGGCGGCGCCGTGGGCGGCGCTGGTTCTGGTCCCCTCGCCGCGGCGACTGCAGCAGCCGCGGAGCTGCGAGCCGGGCCGACGTCTCCCACCCCTCCCGCCACCCCCGCTTCCCGGCGCGCGCCTGCGTTCGCGTGTGTCGAGAGCGCGTGAGTCGGCGGCGCCCGTGCCTGTGCGTGTGCGTGCGCGCCTGTGGTGTGCGTGGACCAAGCCCGGGACCGTGACTGCGCTTCTGGGAGCGGAGCCTGAGAGTGTCAGAGGGGTGCCGGCGCGGCGCGCAGCCCGTGCCCTCCCTTGTCTCTCACATGCCCAAATGTATGTTGCCTATGCTTGTGCGCGCGCGCACGAGTCCTCGACCACAGTCGGAGACACTTCGGGTTTTGACTTCGACAGGAGGGAGCCCGGAGGTGCGCGGAGGCTCAGAGCCATGCCTCTAGCAGCCGGCAGCCGGCAGCCGGCAGCCTGGTGCGGGAGAGGCTCAATCTGACCGATGTGTGATTTGGACTCCCTCCGCAGGGTTAAGAAGCAACAAGGGCGACAGTGCCTGCCCCCGTGAGTGACTCATTTTCCAGGGCGGTCTGGGCTTCTGGACTCCCGCCTGGCTGGGACTAAGGTCAGACGTCAGGAGGCTCGGTGTGTTCCAGCCTGGGTGCTGGTCAGCATTTCACACATTCGGCTTCCTCTCCTCTCCCCTTCTCTACCCTACTTGTAGGGACTCCCAGGTCCCCGGTCCCTCCTGCTCCTTTTCAGAGCCTTCCTGTCCCTCTGGTCCTTATGATCCTAATTCTTTGTCCCCTTCCATCCGTGGGGTATTCTGTGCTTCCCCTTCCCTGACTCCAAGGAGAGCTGAAGCTCCGCCCCTACCAGTTACATCACTATTTCCAATAGCAACTGAGGATTCTGCAGCCCTAAAAGCAAAAGCCCCCAATGGGGACAAAGCAGGATGGCCCCCACACCTCAGTGCAGTGCAGTGCGGAAGCCAAGCCTTCGCATCAGGGTCACACCCTTGTTCCCTGCTGCTGTTCACTCCACCAGCCAAACACCCTGGACTCCCTGGTGCTGAGAGGAGGGCAGGGGCTGTGGTGTTGGCCAAGCTGCTGCTCTTGATTCTGCTCTCTCAGTGTAGGGGAGTAGATGTTCAGGGCCAACCTGCCCATCTTCAAACTGTGGCCTCTGGCAGATCAGAGCCTGGAGGCTGCCTGGGGGCAGACCTGGGCCTAGACAGCCCCAGAGATTCAACAGGGCTGCAGCCAGAGGCCCTGGCTCCACTGCACTGGCCCTCCAGTGGGGTACTGCACCTGGTTCTTAATGGTCCCAGAGAGCTAATTGCTACATATTCAAAATCTGGGAGCCAGCAGTTACACAGCCAGGAGCTTGAAAATGGCCATGATGGGATTATTTATACCATGGAAATCATCAAACCATCAAACCCTACAAATCAGGGTTATTGTTGTTGTTTTTTTTCCTATTCAGAGAGACAGTTTGCCAGCATGCCACTGCCTCCCCCAGGCTGCTTCTCAAGCTTTTGTTCCAAAACCCCTGGGCAGGTCTCCCCTCCAAGCATGGGCTGGAGGCCATTCTTGCCTCCAGGGTTGGCCCCTTCCTGCCAGGAGCCTCTCCAGGGCTCTGCCATCATAGTTCTCTGTGAGCTTGGCCCACAGTCCCCACCACAGGAGGGGTGTGAGTGCAGCTATAGATGGGCTTTGGCTGGTTGCCAGGATGGATTAGGCAGCCTGGACATGGATACCTCTGAGCCCTGGAGAGAGAAAGGCTAGGGGTGGGGCAGGAGATAAAGGTGTGCCTCTGGGGTGGGACCTCCAGGTCCCCCTGGACAGTCTTCTCTGCCAGACCCAGGAAGGGGGTCTAGATGTTTGCTGGGTCTGGCCAACACCCTACTCTTCTGGCAACTGCAGCCCCAAGGGAGCTCTCCCTGCATTTGAACATACTAATAAGCACTGCCAGTGGTGTGCAGCCAACCCTGTCCTCTATCGCATGACCCAAGGAGACCAATCAGTGTTCTTCCCTAGGACTTTGCCGGCATCACAGTGGGGCACTGGACCCCAGCTATACATCCTTTCTGGAGATGTATCCCTGATTGGGCTAAAGAGCCCCTGTGGACACATTGTTATCAAGAGGAAGCTACTTTGGCTCGGCGCCTATAGCTCAACCGGCTAAGGCGCCAGCCACGTACACCTAAGGTGGTGGGTTCGAATCCCCAGCCCGGACCCGCCAAACAACAATGACGGCTGCAACCAAAAAATAGCCAGGCGTTGTGGCGGGCGCCTGTGGTCCCAGCTAGTTGGGAGGCGGAGGCAGGAGACTCGCTTGAGCCCAGGAGTTGGAGGTTGCTGTGAGCTGTAATGCCACGGCACTCTACCCAGGGGGACAGCTTGAGGCTCTGTCTCAAAAAAAAAAAAAAAAAAAAAGAGGAAGCTACTTTGAGAGGAAGAACTGACAGGCAGGGAAGATGGGATAGGTGGAAGTCCGTCTTCTCAACATGGAGTCCCCACAGACCTTCTCGTGGATGAGACTGCCTGTTTACATGCAGTGTATGCAGCAAGTGTTTACCTAACACCTACCATAAACTAGTTGCTGCTCCAAGTACTGGGGACATAGACATGGCTTCTTGGAGCCAACTCAAAGCAGGTGGTGATGGGCTAGCACCTTAGGCCACTGTATGCAGAGGTGGGAGCCCTGAAGAAACATAAAGCAGGATGGGAGCTGGGAGGGAACAGGGGTTTGAACAGGTGCCTGCACCTTCTCTGACTCCCCACCCTCTTTCAGAGGTGGAGCCTAGGTCCTCCCCACTGGGATGGGGATGGGCTGAAAGCCTCCCTTCTTGAGAATGGGATGTAGCAGGAGCAATGGCACATGACTCTCAGGTGAAATCCAGAAAGAATATCTTCTACCTGCCAACTCTCCTTTGTCAGGACACTCAGGCAGACCTGGAGGAACCCACGTGCAGAGGAATGACTCCCCAGTGCCCGGCACTGCCTTGCCAGCCATCGAGGGACCCACTTTGGAAGCCTCAGGGCTTCACAAGCAGCAGCCCTGGCTTATGGCTTTGCTGTGTCCTCCTGAGGCTGATCCACCTGCCAAGGTGCACCAGGATTCCTGACCCTGAGCAATGAAGAGACAGTTAGTTTTTCTTATTATTTTAAGCACTAAGTTTTGGGGTGATTTGTTTTGCAACAATGAACCAACTCCCATGCAGGGCACTGCCCTAGGGTATGCCTCCTCTAAAAGAAATGTGAGAAAATAGCTGAATAAAATGCATGAGGAAGCCATGCAAATACCTGAGGAAAGAGTGTCCTGAGAGGGAATGGCAAGTGCAAAGGTCTTGGGGCAGGAGTGAGCGTGTGGTGTGGACCTAAAAAGAGAGAGGAAGATGGGAGGACAGCAAAGCAGTCAAGGGACCTTGTAGGCCATGAACAGGGCTTCAGCTGTATTGTAAGTGGGTGGGGAAGATAATGGAGGGTGTACACCAGGAGGGTGATATGGTTCAACATACTGTTTAGACAGGATTGCCCAGCTGCTGCAGGAATAAGAGTTCAAGGAAGTAAGGGAGGAAGTAGAGTAACTAATCAGGAAGACAGTGGGCTAATACGTGTGCCAGATCAGAATACCAGGGGAGAGATGTGGAGGCGACAGGGCAGGGAGCATGGACCATAGCCCCCCAGGAACTGAGAGGCTAGTGAGAATGGAAGCGCTGTGTGGGTGGAGCAGGCTTTCTTTTTTCTTATTATTACATATATTTACCACATAGACATCACAAAGAAGTCACAAAAAGGTAGGTTTAGTTTAGTTCACAATATAGATCCTGTGAAAACACATTTCATCTTCTTTGTAGTTTACAATACTTATATAAATTTAAAGTAGTTAAACATTTGAGATTAAATTGGTTAAAGAAAAACTAATCGAATTCAAACCTCAGAAAATTGTGAAAATAAAAGGCCATGATGGAGAAATATTAAGAAATTTGTAGGCTTGGCACCTGTGGCTCAAGTGGCTAAGGCGCCAGCCACATACACCTAAGGTGGCGGGTTCGAATCTAGCCTGGGCCCGCCAAACAACAATGATGGCTGCAATCAAAAAATAGCCAGGCGTTGCGGCGGGCGCCTGTGGTCCCAGCTACTTGGGAGGTGGAAGCAGGAGACTCGCTTGAGCCCAGGAGTTGGAGGTTGCTGTGAGCTGTAATGCCAGGGCACTCTACTCGGGGACAGCTTGAGGCTCCGTCTCAAAAAAAAAAAGAAATTTGTAGAATTACCAAACTGTCACAGTATTATTTTTCTTTACAAAAGTATCTCAATAGAACAAATAAAAACTATGGAAAACACGAAAGTAAAATAAAAAATTTTGGTTTAGTACTTCCCCTGATTTATTATTATTATTATTATTTTGGTTACAGTTTTTGGTCAGGACTGGGTTTGAACCCACCACCTCTAGGGATATGGGGCTGGCGCCCTACTCCTTGAGCCACAGGCACTGCCCTTTTTTTTTTCTTTTTTGAGACTGATCTCCCTTTATCCCACTGACTAGAGTGCGGGGGCATCCTTATAGCTCACTGCAGTCTCCCATTACTCTTGGGCTCAAGTAATCCTCCTGTCTCAGCCTCCCCAGTGGCTGGGGCTACTTGGCTCATTTTTTAAGTTTTTTGTAGAGACTGAGTCTCATCGTGTTGCCTAGGCTGGTGTCAAACTCCTGGCTTCAAGTGATCCTTCTGCCTCAGCTTCCCTGAGTGCTGGAGTCACAGGCCTGAGCCATCGCCTCCGGCTAAGTCGGCTTTCTGAGCTAAGTATCAAGATCTTGGTTTCCTTGAATTGTGTTCACAGCGGTCACAGCCAGCCCGCTGTGCTCCAGCCCAGAAGAAGAGGGTAAGTAAGAAGGCATTTACTCCACCGCGGCTGGGGCAAAGCCCACCTGCAAATCCCAGCTGACG